GGTTCAAGCGATTCTTCTGCCTCAGCCTCCTGAGTAGCTGGGATTACAGGTGTGTGCCACTATGTCCAGCTAATTTTTTGTACTTTTAGTAGAGAAGAGGTTTCACCTTGTTGGTTAGGCTGGCCTCGAACTCCTGACCTGGTGATCTGCCTGCCTGGGCCTCATAGGCGGGAGCCACCGTACCTGGCCCCTTGTTACTTTCTAACAGGTTACGCTTTGTTCTTTTTTTTTCTTTTAAGACGGAGTTTTGGTCTTGTTGCCCAGGCTGGAGTGCAATGGTGGGATCTTGGCTCACCGCAAACTCCGCCTTCTGGGTTCAAGCAATTCTCCTGCCTCAGCCTCCCGAGTAGCTGGGATTACAGGCATGCGCCACCATGCTGGGCTAATTTTGTGTTTTTAATAGAGATGGGGTTTCTCCATGTTGGTCAGACTGGTCTCGAACTCCTGACCTCAGGTGATCCACTCTCCTTGGCCTCCCAAAGTGCTGGGATTACAGGCATGAGCCACCATGCCTGGCCACCCTTTGTTCTTTATAGCATTATCACTATCTGAGCTCTTTTATGTTTTTTTGTCTCCTCCACTAAACCATAAGCTTCCTGAAAGCCGTGCTTTGTCTTGTTCAGCACTTGTTCTTGGCTTGGAGGATAGTGCTCCATAAGTTCTGGGATGATAAAGTGTGCCTGTGTGAGGGGCCAGGCACTGTGCTGGGTGCTGGCAGTGACAAATGAGGCAAAATGAGGCAGCCCTGGCCCCTGTCCTTGTGGAGCTCACATTCTGGAGGGATTTGTTGAGTGAAGAGAAGGGGGACAGAGAGTTGTGCTAATGAAGACCTCTAAATATGTAATGCCTGGAGTGATAGCATGACTTTTGATCAGGAAAAAAGGGGAAAGGGAATCCTAGACCACATTTACGGAGTAACTACTATGAGCCATCTACTTTCTGGGCACTTAATCCTCTGTTAACCCTGTGATAGGCATTTTTGCCTCCTTTTACAGAAAGGGTACCTATGTTGCCCAGGGTCCCACAGCTAGAAGTAGGGGGCTTGGAACAGAAACCTAGGCCAGTCTTTGTCAGCAACTACATGAGATCTTTCTGTCGATGCCGAGCCCCAGCGAGTATGATGGCCAGAAGAGTGAGAGCACAAGTCAGCCTCCTCCTCAGACCTCCCTGACCACCAGTGTGCTGGTGGCTACTGCCTGTTTTCATGGCCTTTCCCCTTCTCACCGGGTCCACTGCTACAGCTTCTTTTTTTTTTTTTTTTTTGAAATGGAGGTTTCACTCTTGTTGCTCAAGGTGGAGTGCAATGGCGAGATCTCAGCTCACTGCAACCTCTGCCTCCCTGGGCCCTGGGTTTAAGTGATTTAAGTGATTCTCCTGCCTCAGCCTCCCGAGTAGCTGGGATTACAGGCGTGCGCCACCATGCCCGGCTAATTTTGTGTTTTTACTAGAGACGGGGTTTCTCCATGTTGGTCAGGCTGGTCTCGAACTCCCGACCTCAGGTGATCTGCTTGCCTTGGCCTCCCAAAGTGCTGGGATTATAGGCGGGAGCCACTGCACCCGGCCTGCCACAGCTTCTTACCTGGCTTCTGTGGGCTCCAGACTGGACATCTCCAACAATCCTTCACATGGCAGTTAGGCAACCTCATGCTTAAAATCTCTGGATTCACTTGTGCCAAGTCCAGACACCTTGTTATGATCTGCAAGGCCGTGCTTAACCTGAGCCTGCAGCTGGCCCCTGTGGCCTCATCTCCTCCCCTTCCTCAGTGCTCACATCACAGCCATGTGGCCTGCAGGTAATGTTCAGAACACCAAGTGGTCCCCCACCTCCGTGCCCTTTGCTCTTGGTGCTTGCTGTGCCTGGAGTGTTGTTCCTGGGGTCTCCACCCAAAGATCGCCTACTCATCCAAGGTGAGGGCAATTGCTCTTCTCTTCCAACTCTGTCAGGCTGTGTTGAAAGAGCTTCTTTGTGCTTCTGCACTTGATTGAAAGCAAGGTCTGTGTCTTTAATCCAATCTGGTAGGCTGTGGAGTTGAATACCCATTATCTCATTTGGAAAATGGTCATTACTATTTCCATTTAAAAAATTTAATTTCTTTTTTTTTTTTGAGACAGAGTCTTGCTCTGTCACCCAGGCTGGAGTGCAATGGCGTGATCTTGGCTCACTGCAACCTCTGCCTCTGGGTTCAAGTGATTCTCTTGCCTCAGCCTCCCGAGTAGCTGGGATTACAGGTGCCTGCCACTGCACCCGGCTATGTTTTGTCTTTGTAGTAGAGATGGGGTTTCAGCATGTTGGCCAGGCTGGTTTCAAACTCCCGACCTCAGGTGGTCCCCCTGCCTCAGCCAAAGTTCTGGGATTACACGTGTGAGTCACTGTGCCTGGCCTTTTTTCTTTTGAGACGGCATCTTCCTCTGCTGCCCAGGCTGGAGTGCGGTGGTGCGATCTCAGCTCACTGCAGCCTCCGCATCTTGGGTTCAAGCAATTCTCCTGCCTCAGACTCCCGAGTATAGCTGGGACTCCAGGCGAGCGCCACCATGACCAGCTGTGTTTTGTATTTGTAGTAGAGATGGGGTTTCACTATTTTGGCCAGGCTGGTCTTGAACTCCTGACCTCAAGTGATCTGCCCGCCTTGGCCTCCCAAAGTGCTGGGATTACAGGTGTGAGCTACCGTGCCTGGACCTATTATTTCCGTTTTGTACATAAGGAAACTGAAGTTCAGAGGTGGTTGCTGACTTGTTGAAGGCTGATCATTATGGGTTACAGAGAAGACTTGAAACCCACATGCTCAGCTCTAAACTTACTGTACCTTCCTCATTTGTACAATCATCACAAGAACATGCATTCAACATTCTCTGGGCACCAGCCTCTGTGCTAGGCGACCACAACACTTTGAAGACAGAAGCAATGCTGTGTACTGTGCACCTCTGCCAGCATCTGTTTACAGGAGATGGCTGCCATGTCCCTGTCCACTCTCCCTTTTCTCTCCTGGTGGCTGCGATATTGGAGTTTTAGAACACAGCCAGAGTACTTGCCATTTGTTCCTGTTGGACACCATTTTTAGGATTATCCCAAGGGCTCTGGCTGTTTCCGCTCTTCCTCCCAACTGGTGCTTATGTATCCACAAATCTGAGCACTGGACCTCTGCAACTTCATCCAAGTCACCCATAATAAACCTATGGATCAGAGCAGGGCCAAGGAAAGGGCGTGACCTGCACCCTTAAGAGACGGACACATAACTGAGTTATGAGCTTCCCAGCCAGATGCATATTTAGTTCATATTTCTCTGGCTGGGCTTGGCTGGGCCCTCCCAAGTTTCCTACACATAGATTTGGGGTGGCGACCCTGGGCACCTCAGGAAAGTGAAGCCACTTGGGATCGGGGCTGCGTATGCTCAGCATCCAGCATGGTGCCTGGTACTCAGTGGGTACCCAGAGAAGGCTTGTTGAATGGAGCAATGGGTGACTTTGTTATTAGGGAACCCATTTTGGTCCATTCTGATTACTTCCTCCTCTCACCTCCAATAGGGAATTTTCCAATCAGTCCCTGATCCTTTGCTCCTTTCACATTTATCGTATCTACCGCCATGATCTCCTTTTTTCTTTGAGACGGAGTCTTGCTCTGTTGCCCAGGCTGGAATGCAGTGACAGGGTCTTGGCTTACTGCAAACTCTGCCTCCCAGGTTCAAGTGATTCTCCTGCCTTAGCCTCCAGAGTAGCTGGGATTATAGGCGCCTGCCACCACGCCCAGCTGATTTTTTGTATTTTTAGTAGAGACGGGGTTTCACTATGTTGGCTAGGCTGGTCTCGAACTCTTGACCTCAGGCAATCCACCCGCCTTAGCCTCCCAAAGTCCTGGGAGCCATGATCTTGATTAGTGCCCATGCGGACAAATAACTCCCAGTCTACATTCAACCTATAGCTTTCTCCTGGTCTGCAGATCCTCATCTATCCACTTCTCCCATCCTCTTAACTCATCCATCTCTCTCAGGCTGTGTTGAAAGAGCTTTTTTGTGCTTCTGCACTTGGTAGAAATCAGGGACTGTGTCTTAATAGAATCCAACATCCGTTAGGCTGTGGAGTTGAACCCATCATCTCCTTTGGAAAATGGGCTTATTGTTTCCATTTTATACATAAGGAAACTAAAATTCAGAGAGGGTTGCTCTCTGAATAACAATGAGGGTTGCTCCCTCCATTCATCCTGTCATCCGTCCAATAAAAATATTGAATTCTTCCCACAGTATGTTCAGGGTAACCAATCAGAAATAGTCCCTGCCTGAATGGAGCTTCCATTCTACCAGAAAACAGACATCAAATGTAGAATTACACAGAAACACTCATTAGAAGTGCAATCAAGCAGAAGCCCTGGGTATTATGAGAATAAAGCACGTGGGACCTGATCCGGCCTGAGATGTGTGTATGTGTGTGTCAGGGAATACTTCCTGGAGGAAGTAACATTGAAGCTGAAAACTGCATTGTCACCCGAGCCAAGGAATGAGTGTGTTTCAAGAAGGGTGAAGCCAACAACTCTGAATGCTGCTGATTTACCCTCGAGGAGATCACTGGGATGATATAGGCACAAGCCGGACTTTGTTGGGTGGAGGAGTGAGTGAAAGGTGAAGAAGTAAAGGCAGCCCGTGCAGAAAAGTGGAAAAGCTCAGGAAGGGGACAAAAGACGGGGTAGTAGTTAGGGAGGGTGTAGATCTGAGGGAATCCTCTCTCATCCCCCAAGATAGGAGAGACTTAGCATGTTAAATACTGCTAGGAAAGAGCTAGCAGTGACAACAGAGTGGGGAAGTCAAGGTAGGAATGGAGGGCTCAACCTGCCATCATTTCTTCACTGAAGCAATGTCATTAAACACATGTGGGACCATGTGGGACCTGATCGTGCCAGGCATTTTGAAAAAGGCTGACAAGGTCTATGCTCCCCCCACTCACCAGCTAATTTTTTTGCATTTTCTGTAGAGATGGGGTCTTGCCATGAACTCCTGAGCTCAAGTGATCCACCCAAAGTGCTGGGATTACAGGTGTGAGCCACTGCACCTGGCCTGCTCTGTGCTTTTATGGAATTTATTTTCTAGGGAGACAGGCGGGAGGTAAGTAACAGATCAACAAGAAAACTTCAGCTAATGATAAGTGTAATGATGAGATAAAATGAGGTATATGGTAATGGAAGGGTGTAACTCAGGAAAAGGTGAGGTCACAAGGCCTAGAGTGCTGTGCCATGGGGTGTGGTGCAGGTGACAAGTGGCCTGGGGGAGCTGAGGATACGGGGGAGAGCTGGAGTTCATGAAGGTGGTGTGGGGGCTATGGAAGAAAATGGCAGAAGGACAGAGGAGGGCTGGTCTGGAGGCCCCATGGAGATGACAGAGTTTTACAGGGTGGGTGACTTCAGGGTCACCCCTTAGTCAACTGCTGACCTCACATCTGTTCCTTTAGACCCTCGGGTACTCAGACTCAACATTACCAACCACAAACTCAGTTCCTTCCCAGCCTAACCTGCTGCTGCCCTGGCTTCCTGATCTGGAGGGCAGAGGTGCCATTCTCCTGGGTACAGTGACTTGCAGCCTCAGTGATGACCATTGAGATGGAAACTGGATGGAGGCCCCTGAAGAGAGCAGAATGGTTCCCACATCAGAGCCCCTCTGCTCCACTTTTCCAGTCTCCTCATGTCTTTGTTCCTCCTCTGGTAAGTCATCTCCCTTACCCCCACAACTCCCCTCCACCAGCAGGGAGAGCCAATAGACTGGGGAGGCTGGAACCCCAGATCAGAGTCGTGGCCTTGCTTTGGAGTCAAGGGGGAAGCCCAGCTGGGCTGGCTGGTCTCATGTCTTGGCATCATCTCCCCTGGGGTGGATGCCTGATGAGCCCAGCCCGTTCCTGCAGGTGTTCTTTTCTTTCCTCTCTGCCTGTCCCCCAGAACCTCCACTCTAGGCGAACATGGCGTGTTCAGTCTACCTCCATGTGTCTGCTTATGCAGAACAAAGGAGCTTCGGGAGAATCCTGAAGGCGATGGGAACCCCAGGAGCAACCCCATCTATAACTCCTGAGGGTTGGAGTAGGGTGTCTGAGGGGTGGGATCCGAGAGGTAGGATGGGTGGCAGTAGGATGCGACAGAGGTGAGGTCAGCTGCCCAGCTGTAGGCTTGGGCCTCTCTTCAGGCCCACCTGCCAAAGCCTCTTCCTCTGCGTGGCCTGAGAGATAGGGGTTTTGTCCCCAGGAAGTCCAGATGGGGTAAGAACTAGGAGGAGGTTGATCACTGCCACACCCAGGGCCCCAGATGTGCCTGGGGGCCCTGGCAGCATCACTGACAAATAAATGAGACGTACTCTTGAAGAAAGAGCAGCTGGATCCACACAGGTTGCGCAATACCCAGGGTGGCTTGGCTGTGTGACTCCCTGGCGATGCTACTCCTGCTGGCCCTGCTGGGGGCTGCATTGCTGGGGACTTCCCTGCTCACCTGGTGGCATGCTCCAGCCCAGAACAAGATCCCCAGGGCCCAGAAATGGAGGGAGGTAGCACTGCAGAAGATGGAGGCCCTGGCCCAGTGACTGCAGCAGCAGGTCCCGGAGGCCCTGGAGGCCCCCAGCCACAGAGGGCGTTGGCCCTCAATCCCAACAGGAGGACTACACCTCAGGATGCCCCTCCCGTCCATGGCCCCAGCCCCCGCTGACACAGGGTGGGCACTTCCCCACCCTCAGTTCTCCCCATGCCAGCTCTGTGTGTGGTTGCCAGTTCTCCTCCATCCCTGGCCTTTGAGACCCTGGAGACTGGGGGCAGTGTATTCTTTCTCTGTTCTTCCAGCGTTTGGCACGTGGCTCAGTAACATGGGAGGTGCCCATTTAGGGTATTTGCGGAAATAAGATAAACTGATGGAGGCAATTGGAGGAGGGAGGCCCGATCTCTTTCAGCCCCTGAGCACTCCAAAATCCCCCAAGAAAGGAACCCTAGTCTACCTGTCCCCTCCTACCCCCACCCCATTCAGCTCTGAAAACACTTGCTGAGCCCTGAGAAGTGAAGAGCGCAGGGGGCTGGGGAAGGGGTCTCCCAGGAAGCTGCAGGTCTTAAAAGGCTGCTTTGGCAACTCAGGGTGGGGGTATTTCGCTGGGATAGCCTCTGTGGCTGGCTGGGCTGAGACTGGCAGGCCAAGTGGCTGAGCCACAGATGTATCAGCAAAGCCTGCCCCAGGTGGCAGAGAGAAGGGCGGGAAGGAGGGACATGGAGAAAAACATAGACTGAGCCTGGGATTTGCTGTGTGGCCTGGAGGATGTGACAACCGGTATCTGGGCCTTGGAGTCCCCAGCTGCCAGAGTGGGGATGGGCTCATGGTCTCTCGGGGTCTCCAGCTTTGGTTGACGATGGTGGACTCCGTCTGGGCGCCCAGAGGTGGGGGCTGGGCTAGTGCCTGAGGCGTTGTTCCCATGCTCTGGAGTTCCTGAGTGTCTTCCCCCCGGACGGTGATTGATGGCCCCAACGGGCAGCTTCTCTGTCTGAGCTGCTGCAGTTGCTGAGTATGTGTATTAATATTAATTGGGGCTAATTAGTTGGATAAATCAATCTGCCCCCAGAGAGCAGCTGCCCCTCCCTGGTTGATGAGGAGGAAGTCTGGGCTAATGGGTTGCAGAGGTGAATGGGCATGATGGAGCGTCCTGTGTGCTTGTGGAGGCCCCATCTGTGTGCGGTGGTGGGTATAGCTTCCTTTACCGCGGACAAGGGCCTGCTTTCGTGTGCCTCTTGCTGGCGTTTCATTGTGTCGTGGTTGGTTGTGTGTCTGGTCTGGCTGTGTGGTTATGTGCCTGGCTGGGTGCGCATGTGTTGGGCTGTTGGTTGGAGTGTGTACATCTAGCTACGTGTGGCTGCTGTGGGTCTGAATGTCTGGTGGAGAGTGTTCGTGTGTGGTTGTGTGTCTGATGTGTGGGGGCAGCTGGTTTGGTGTGTGTCTGGGCATCTGGTTGGTGAACATGTGGATGTCTGGGCTGCTGGGCTGGGGACCTGGAGGGGGTATATGTCTGGTTGACTGGAGGAGTGGAAGAGGTTTGGAGTGAGGTCACTCATGGTGTCTCCAGCTTCCCATCGTGGCTTCAGGTTTCTTGGCTCTTAGCACCTTGCTGTCTCCCCAACAAGCTATACAGTTCTGTCCTGGGCACCTTCTCAGTCATGTCACCCTCTCTCTGCCAGTGATATCCTCGAGGCCTCAGGTGTCCACCTTTATGTCCGAGGGGAGGTGCAAGGCTGGGACACAGGCCAAACCCTCACAGGCTCAAGCAAACAAATCCAATTCCACTGAGTTTAGTAAAATTTCCCAGGGAATTTCTCCGGGTCTTGCCCTGTGCTGAACTCTGGGGACAGGTTCATTATAAAGATGAATCTAATGCCTGGCTCACACTTGTGCTAAAAATGTTTCCAACCTGGGTGGGGCGTGGTGGAGGCAGAGTTGTGCAGACTATGCCGGGCGGCAGCACAGCAGTGTGGTGAGGCCAGATGCCCACGGAACGGGGGACTTGGCAGGAGGGTGGCTGGTGTGTCTGGAGAGGATCATGTGGGGAGGGCTTCCCAGAGAGGTGGTGAGTGAGCAGAACCTCACGGCACCTGTAGGAGTTTTCTGAAAGGAGAAATGAGAAAGGCAGTACTAGGGAGGGGGAAGCCCCAGATGAGGCAGTGTTTCTGTAGAACGTATAGAAAATAATATTCTTAGGACCCTTCGGGTAAATGGACCAGCTGCTCATGGTTGGAACTGCTCAAGCTGCTCGTGGCCAGGAAGCTCTGCTCACCTCAGGCAGAGCCTGGCCACCTTGAGAGTTGATGGTTTTTATGATACTTAACATTTAACCACCACATTGGACTTTTTTTTTTTTTTTTGGAGACAGAGTCTGGTTTTGTTGCCCAGGTTGGAGTACAGTGGCTTGATCTCGGCTCACTGCAACCTCCGCCTCCCAAGTTCAAGCAATTCTCCTGCCTCAGCCTCCAGAGTAGCTGGGATTACAGGCAAGTCCCACCACGCCCAGCTAATTTTTGTGTTTTTAGTAGAGACGGGGTTTCACCGTGTTGGCCAGGATAGTCTTGATCTCTTGACCTCGTGATCCGCCCACCTCGGCCTCCCAAAGTGCTGGGATTACAGGCGTGAGCCACTGTGCCCGGCTGTAACTATTAATAATACATCAATTCAATAAAAACTTTACATTATATTTTTTTGTTTTCAAACTAGGTTGGAGGCAGCACCCTGAGTACAGAGAAGGCCGGATGTTCATGGTGCTGTGGGATGGAACAGGAGGGGAGGGTTAGCTCCAAACTAAATTATATATTAAAATGACAAAAAAGTGATATAACTTGAGGCTCAATTTTTCATCTAATTACTCTAATAATTTCCAAATAATTTGTTGATTTTTAGCTTTTTTTTTTGACGGAGTTTTGCTCTTGTTGCCCAGGCTGGAGTGCAGTGGCACAATCTCAGCTCACTGCAACCTCCGCCTCCCGGGTTCAAGTGATTCTCCTGCCTCAGCCTCCTGGGAAGCTGGGATTACAGGCACCCACCACCACGTCTGGCTAATTTTTTTTGCTTTTTTGTATTTTTAATAGAAACGGGGTTTCACCATGTTAGCCAGGCTGGTCTTGAACTCCTGACCACAGGTGATCCGCCCACCTCGGCCTCCCAAAGTGCTGGGATTACAGGTGTGAGCCACCGCTCCTGGCTAATTTGTTGATTTTTAGAATTTGTTGTGAGGATCTTTTCATGTTGCTGTCATCTTTTGAAAGATGTCCCTGTCTTTCAAAGCACTCCTGATACATTGCAGTCATTAGGTCATTTGCAGTCTGATTAAGGAGAGCCTTTCTCTTAACGTTAATGATATTGTTACTTGGGTGGAGTCCTCTCTCAGCTTTTGCTGAACCAGTAGCAATTACACTCACAGTTTTTTAGCTTTTCTAATACAGTGTTAGATTTCATGTAGTTAAGCATCTCTGTTGTCAACTAAGTAATAAACATTGTTATTAGACTGTCATTAACACTAATTAGAAGTTGTCTAGCATGGCAGCTAAGAGTGTGGCTTCTGTTACTGGGCTGGTTGTTTGAATCCTGACTCTTGACACTTTTTATTTTGTTTGATTTTATCATTTTACATTGTTTTGAACTCCTGGCCTCAAGCAATCCTCTCACCTCAGACTCTCAAAGTGCTAGCATCACAGGCGTGAGCCACCAAGCCCAGCAAACACTTACACTTAAATGACTACTCTGTATCTTAACTTCTTCATCTCTACAACGGTATGGTGACTGTAATGATAGCACTCAAACAAGTTAATAAATGTTTTCAGTGGTGCCTGGTACACAGCAAACACCATACAGATGCTCCTCGACTTACCATGAGGTTTCATCCTGATAAACTCATCCCAAATTGAAAATATCGTAAGTTGAAAATACGCTTAATATACCCAACTTACCTAACATCATAGCTTAGCCTAGCCTTTTTGAAATGTGCTCAGAACACTTCCATTAGCCCACAGTTGGGCAAAATCACCTGGCAACACAGTACCCTGTAGAGGATCCGCTGTTTCCCTTGTTATTTCTTGGCTGACTGGGAGCTGGGCTTGCTGGCACTGACCAGCATCGAGAATCAAGAGAGGATCTTTCTTTCTTTCTTTCTTTCTTTCTTTCTTTCTTTCTTTCTTTCTTTCTTTCTTTCTCTCTTTCTCTCTTTCTCTCTTTCTCTCTTTCTCTCTTTCTCTCTTTCTCTCTTTCTCTCTTTCTCTCTTTCTTTCTTTCTTTTGCTTTTTGAGACGGAGTCTGGCTCTGTTGCCCAGGTTGGAGTGCAGTGGCATGATCTCAGCTCACTGCAACCTCCGCCTCCCAGGTTCAAGAGATTCTCCTGCCTCAGCCTCCCGAGTAGCTGGGATTACAGGTGTGCACCACCACGCCGGCTAACTTTTGTATTTTCAGTAGAGACAGGGTTTTGCCATGTTGGCCAAGCTGGTCTCAAACTCCTAACCTCAGGTGATCCCCCCCACCTTGGCCTCCCAAAGTGCTGGAATTACAGGCATGAGCCACCGCGCCCGGCCTCTTACTTTCTAATGAATGTATATCAATCGCTTTTGCACTACCGTATAGTCAAAGATCGTAAGTTGAACCATGGTAAGTTGGGATTGTCTGTACAAGTGATTGTTTTCACTTTAGGAATGAAGCTAATGTTGTTGTCCATGATGAGTGGGTATTTCGGGTGAGCTGAATATGTTCTATTAGATGGATGTGATATTCTGTCCTCCCAGGTCCCTGAAGCGCCTGTTGTGGTCTCAGCAGCCATCTGCAGAGGTCACATTAGCCACCCCCAACCCCTGCCCTTGCCTGCTCTTCCCACCTCTCCTCAAGCTCCCTGAGAGTCAAAGTCTCCCAGAGGCTGCCATTCCCACATATGGCCATGCAAGGGCAGCTGTGGGGGAGGACTGGCCTCAGGGGCCCAGAGGAGCACATTAGGCACTTGCCCATGGGGGTGCCACCAGGGTGTCCTCTCTCCAGGTAGAAATAGATAAATGGGGGTTGGTGTGAAGCTGCTGATGTCTCTGGGGTGCGTCCGTGGACCTGTGAGTGCAGGGAGGTCCCTGGCAAGGCCCACTAGGGCTCCTTAGTGTTGGAGGGCGCAGGGCAAGGGATGAACCCAAGCTGGCCCTCCACGGTCCCTGTGCCTAGAGGGTCCTTGCTGGGCTGGGCATTAACTTTACTTGCTGGACTGTGTAGAGGGTGGAGTCCCGGGGAGGGGCCAGGACAACTGGGGTGGTGGGGTGCCCCGCAGAACAGCTTTTTGCCAAGTGACTCAGAAATGTTTCAGTAGTTTAGCCACTGGCATAGCTGTGGCGGGGCATCCTGGCTGAATGCTAGCCCTGTCCAACGTATCTGTGTCTGGACCCTCCTGAGAGTCCCTGTGGCACACCAGCAGGGGAGCTCTGAGCTGCGGCACAACAAGGAGAGGGACTGGGCAGCGTGGCTGGAGCAGCATGCATGGGAGAGGCCAAGAGAGACAGGCCCACTGGACCCAAGCAGGGAAAGAGCCTGATCCGGTGCCTGGCACCTTAAAAGGCCTCCCTTCCGCAGGATGCCCCAAGAGCCAGGAGAGGGTAGTGGTTAAGATATGGATGGTCTGGGTTTAAGCCCAGGCTCCCCTGTCCTCTGACCTTGGGCAAGAGAGTTAGTCTCTCTGGGTCTCAGTTGCCTTCACTGGGGAAATGGAAACACTAATAACAGCATTTAGCCAAGGGTTCTCTGCCCCACAGTGATACTCTGAGTACTTGGTCAATGGGAATTGTGTACATCGAAGCAGGAACCCATGTTACACGTTTACGGTGAAGGCTTTGCAAGTGGTGCTGGTGAGAATGGTGCTGCAATGTTATCCTGAGGGCAACTGGGACCTATTTTCAGAGTGGGCCTTGTAAGATCTTAAAAGGATTGCCCAGGCTGCAAGGAAGAGGTTGAGTTGGAGGAGTGGAGGCCAAGCCAAGGAGGCCAGTGAGGAGGCCGATGAGCTAACAGAGAGAGATCCTTAGGCAGGCAGGAGACCTGAGGGTCCGAGGTGGGAGATATGAAGGAGCAGAACCACCTGCAGGCAGTGCGTGTGGTTAAGAATGTGGTCACTGGTGTTGGACTGCCTGGGTCCAACTCTGCCACTTACTGGCTGTGTATCCTTGGGCAAAGAGGAGCTCTCTGTGCCTCAGTGTCGTCTTCTGCTGTGAAACGAGAAAACGATGTGACCTACCTCTTAGGGTTGTTGCAAGGGGTAATATGAGTTATTATATATTTAAAATTTTTAATTTACAATTTTCTTGGAGACAGGGTCTCATCTGTCATCCAGGCTGGAGTGCAGCGGCACGATCATAGCTCACTGCAGCCTCGAACTCCTGGCGTCAAGAAATCCTCCCAACCTGGCCTCCCAAAACTCATTATAGGCAATGAGTGATGATATGTAGTGTTTGGAATAGGGCCTGGCACTGTTAAGTGTTAGAACACATCCTAGTATGATTATGTTAGCTAGCGTAACTATTATCAGAACTTGGATGTGAGGGAGGACCTGGGGTGATTCTGAGGTTTGTTGCTTTGGTGACATGCATGTCATCGATTGGGAATTTCAAGAAGAAGAACAGATTTGGCTGTAAAAAGGTGAGTCCTGGGGAGTCCGTGTATATGTGGGTGTAGGTAAAGGGGTCTGAGTCCTGGCGGAAGAGAGGCCTGGGTTAGAGAAACAGGTGGTGTGCATATCCTTGGGGTGCACCTGGCTGCCGAGGTCACCCATGGAGAGTGGGCAGGCAGGGAGAGAAAAGATCACACCCCGAGGAACACCAACACTTCAGGAAACTGAGAAGGAGCCACCTGAGGGTGGGAGGAGGCCAGCAGAGTCGGGGCATAGAGAGCTTCGGGAGGGAAAGTGTCAGGCGCTGCTGAGGAATGAGATGAAGACTAACCTGAATCCATAAGATTTAGTAACCGAGAAGTCTCCGTGCGCTTGGTGAGAAGGGGCGCAGTGCAGAGGGGAGGACTGGGTGATTGGAGGAACGAAAGAGGGCAGACTGGAGCCAGGGGATCCTAACCTCCCAGGGAAATTTATTTGCCTCCACCTTCTCCCACCTCCAGGACCAAGAAAAGCCCACTGTGACATCTTCCTGCCCAACCCGTACTCCAGCTTGGAGGCATCGGGATCTCCACCAGAGCTGAGGGGCCAAGAGGAAGAGAACTTTGCCTTCCTGAGTGCCTGCTGCGTGCCAGACCTTTGTCATGTCACACCTGCCCAGGACCGCAGTTCTGAGGGGCTGGTATCAGGCCTCCCCTCATATCCTGAAGGACAGGGCTCAGAGCAGCTGAGGGGCTGACTCAGGATTGACTCCTAGTCCTTCCCTCTCTGAGGAAACGTAGGCCATGGGAGGGGCAGGGGTCCATCTCCAGTTACCCAGCTGACCAAGGGCATGGCCAAGATGATGCCAACTCTCTTGCCACCCACTCGGGCTGAACTTCACTTCCATAACCTCCAGCCTCATGATGTCATGAATGGAGTCACCCCCACTCCAGTTGTGACCCTTCTGAAGAGCAGCATGAAGGGGCAGGCCCCTCTCCATGCCAGGGCCTGGGCTGGCCACTGGGGGCAGAGGCAGAGGAGAACATCGTGCCCTTGGAGGGTTTTCATGACAACCTGGAGACACAGCAGATGCTTTCAGTGCTAAGCACGAGTGCCGGAACATGTACTGAGCGACACAGATGTGTGTGCAGCTATGTGTGTAGGGGAGTATGGGGTGTCATGTGGAGTGTGTGGGAGTGGGCCTTAGCGGGTCCATCTTTGAAATCTGCCTACTCCATCTCATCTCTGCAGGAGCCAGCCCTGGACCCCCAGCCAATCCTGGAGCTGCCCCTGGCAGAGCTGGCCCAGCAGCTTCGGACTGAAGAGCTGAGTCTGGAGAGTGTCCTCTGTAGCTACTTAGAGCAGGTGGTGGCCAGGGCACACGGTCCAAGCCAGGGGCTCTGGGCTGGAGTGGGGGATGTCACCTGTCATTGTTTTACTCAGAGGAGTGGGGGGCAGGTGTAACTCTGCCACTGACTTATGAGGTGGCACATGCCACAGTCACCTCAGGGTGGTAGGAGGGGCCAGAGCAACCAAGTGCCCTGCTTTGGTCCTGGCCTCACCTGGGGCTGTCGTCTGCTGTCTTCACTGTTGTTCAGGCACTGAAGGTGCACCAGGAGGTGAACTACCTGATGGATTTCCTGGGGGAATGTAAGGAGGAACTGCAGGCATTGAAGAAGCTTAAGACGAGTGAGAGAGGTCTTCTCTATGGGGTCCCCATGAGCCTCAAAGACACCTATGACTGCATGGTGAGCATGGGGTGTACACGCACATGAATGTGCATATGCACGCGTGTGCCACCAGCCTGGAGCTCTGTGTGACACTGGGGAGCTCAGTGTGTGATACTGGCGAGTCATTTAAAACTGCACAGCTACAAAGTGGCAAACTGAGATTTAAACCCAGAATTTGGGCTCCAAACCCCAAATTCTCAGCCACCACACTCTTTTGCCATCCATGAAGTGCCGTGCTTGTGTCCCCAAGGGTGTGAGAGTGTGTGTGAGTGGGGGTGGAGTGGGGCTGAAAATCAGCCAGCTGGGTGGTTCCCCCTTGACCCTCATGGCTGGAGGTAATGTTCCTTCCCTGCAGGGCCATGACTCTACTTGCCTCCTGGCCCAGTTCCCGGAGAAGCCTGCAACCAAGGACGGGGTCATTGTGAAAGTGCTCGAGGCCCAAGGAGCCATCCCCTTTGTTCAGACCAACATCCCACAGACGCTGCTCAGGTCTCTGAAGCGGGCTAGCTGGGATCTGGGCTGGGATAAGCCCAGGGCTGAAACAGCTCTTTAAAGTCCCATTTCAGGGCAGAGGGTGAGGAGGGGGCTAGTCATGCAGACTTCAGAGACCAGGGTTCTTGGGCCAGCCCTTTCTGTCCCCGGGGCTGAATTCCTTTATCGTAGAACATGTGGATGGACTCCACAGTCTATAAGGGCCCTTCGGGCTCCAAGGTTCTGTAAAGCTACACTCTGTTTCTATCTCAGTTTCTCTCTCAAATTGTTCTATTTCTATCCAGCCTTCTCTCTTTGATTGTTCTCCCCATCACTTATTCTCTCCCTTCCCTACTCAGCCTGTAGAGCATCTATGTTTCGTGAGGAACATGTTCTCAGTTCTGATGGCAGAGCTGTGGGCTCTTTGGTCCTAATACTAGGAGTCATGGCTGGTGTCTGATCTTGGTCTTTCTTGCAGCAGCGGCCCCTCACTCCAGCTGGAAGGGAGTCCAGGAAGCCTCAGCCTTAGGGAGGAGCTCATGGAGCCCAGGAAGCCCTGGGGTCGACTCCGGAGGGTGGTTGGCCCCCATATGGGGAGGGGTCTGCCCAGTGAGGCTTTCACTCTCAGCTCCTTTTCTTCTGCTTCCCTTGGCTTTGAGTGCAGCAACCCCATCTATGGCCAGACGTTGAACCCACTGAACTTAAAGAAGACATGTGGGGGCTCCTCAGGGGGAGAGGGAGCTCTGATGGCAGAAAGAGGGTCCATCCTAGACATGGGTACTGACACAGGTGACAGCATCTGCATATCAGCCAGCTTCTGTGGTGTTTATGGCCTCTGGACCACAGGTTCCCACCTCAGGTACCCATTGATGGTGGTGGTGGGGTGGGTTTGGACCTGCCTAGAGGAACTAGGGGAAGTAGAGGGGTCTGCTCCTCCCATCAACTTTCATCTACCCAGCTCAGTACTAGGGGAAGTGGATAGGAGGGCTTCAAATAACTCCTGCAGTAGCCATGCCAAACATACCATGTTTTGTCCAGGCAGCAGCAATGTAATTAATGTAGAAGTAATTAATGACCTTCCACTCATTAATCCATCAGTTCATTAATTCATTAATCAATACAACTCTCCATCCACATACCCCTTCTCTTACTCACTCATCAATCTGTCCATTTATCTATCTATCCGTCCGTCATCCATTCAACTACCACGTGGTCATCATCTCAGTCTCTATCCATCAATTAATTTTACCATTCAACGACTATTTATTTAAAAGATTTTTATTGAGTATTTACTGTGTCAGACATAACAGTTCCTTGGGTACTAGCTACTTGGGTAGCCCTTGAAAAACTTACACACACCCTTCCTTCCAACCATTTATTTATCCATCCATCTTTCCATCCATCCATTTGGGTATCCATCCGTCTATCAATCCACATTTGTATCCATCCATCCATCCATCCATCCATCCATCCATCCATCCATCCATCCACCCATTCATCGTGTATGCATGCATGCATGCATCCACCCATCTCTCAACTCCACTCTGTGTACCCACACCATGGCACCTATACTGGGGACACAGACACTCTTGGACCCAGCCCCTGCCCCTGCCCCTGCTGTGCTCTTAGACACAGAAATGACTTAGTCAGAAAGTGATCAGGTCTCTAAGAGAGGGTCAGAGCTTGTGGGAATGCACAAGAGGAAGCTGACATTTTCTTCAACAGAGATTTATTAAAAGCTTATACTCTTGACTTTCAGAGCAGGGCAAGGGAAGGGAAGGATTCCTGGAGGAGGCAGCATTTGAGCGTGGTTTTGAGGGCTGGACATGCAGAGATGATGTGGCGTCTAGAAGGCTGTAAGATAGTGTGTAAGTGGCTGACCTTGCCTGCAGCAATATGCACGTATGGAAGGGCTAGAAGGGGAAGCCATGGAGAGTTAGCGCCTTGAAAGGCAGTCAAAGAGATCAGACTTTATGCTGTGAGCAGTAGAGAGTCACGGAAGGTTGAAGCAGCTCCTATTTCTCTGGGCTGCACCCTGGGGGAGCTCAAGCCTCCTGGCACCCTGGCACCTCCCTTCACATGCTGAGCTGTGGGAGTGTTTTGCAGCTACACTGGAATTGCCTCTGCCATCAAGGGGAGAAAATTGGGTAAGTCCTGGTTTGTGCCTGTGGTCACCCCATTTAAAGATGAACCTGCCCGTCTTTCTCCCAAGGACATTTTGCTCAGCTTATATCTCCAGACAGATCAGCCCCACAGATGATGACTGGGAGAGGGACTGCATGGTTCCCACCCGGCCTCCCCTTGTCCAGTGACTCTTGGCCCTCTGAGAAGGGCTTCTGTCCTGCTATCTAGCTTTAATCTCTTCCTTTGTCTTGACCATGACCCTGGAACCCACCCTCTGAGGCCAGGCAGTTGGGATGCCCAGGGCAGAACAAATGAGAGCTGCTGGCTGGGTGCGGTGGCTCACATCTGTAATCCCAGGACTTTGGGAGGCTGAGGCGGGCAGATGACTTGAGGTCAGGAATTCGAGACCAGTCTGGCCAACATGGTGAAATCCCGTCTCTACTAAAAATACAAAAATTAGCCAGGTGTGGTGGCGGGCACCTGTAATCCCAGCTACTGGGGAGGCTGAGGCAGGAGAATTGCTTGAACCCAGGAGGCGGAGGTTGCAGTGAGCAGAGATCATGCCACTGCACTCCAGCCTGGGTGACAGAGGAAAACTTCATCTCAAACAACAACAACAACAAACAAACAAAATGAGAGGTGCCTGCTTCTCTCCCCTCCTCTTTGTGTGACCACAGTGGCGGTCCCCATGGCCCGGGACGTGGAGAGCCTGGCGCTGTGCCTGCGAACCCTGCTGAGTGAAGACATGTACCGACTGGACCCCACTGTGCCCCGGATGCCCTTCAGGGAGGAGGTAAGCCAGGTGGGAGAGCAGACCTGGGAGTTTCCTTGCCCCCTACCATCATTCCTCCCTGGCCTGTCTGCCATCTCACCTTCCCAGGTGAAGACCCCCTTACCCACCCCAGGCTACAGTGAGTGAGAAGCCCACATGCTCAGTCCAGTTTGTTTCCTGCCCCTGCTGGACGCCAGCTGCTTTGGCCTCTTGGCTATCTGGAGCCATAGCTGTAAGTGCCCCCAAAGAGGGCCTCCAGTGCCATATACTCAACCCATGCAGGCAGAATACTCAGCAAGTGTGGTTCAGAGGATGTGGCATCCAGTTAAGCTAGGCTTTTAACCCTCTAGGTAACCCTGGCCAAGTCACATCTCTTCTCTCGGCCTTAACCTCCCCATCAGTACAATAAAGAGGTTAGGCTGGGAGATCACTCCACACCCTTCTGTCTACAGCAGCCTTCATTTATTCGTTAATTCATTCAACAACATTTGCTTGTACCAGCTGTGTGCCAGGCTCAATGTGTCTCATCCTAACACTCTACAGAATGAGCAGTGCTCCTCCCATTTACAGCTGGGGAGGCTGAGGGGAAGTGAAATGACTTGCCTATGATCATGTAGTTAGTAACTGGTAGAGCTGGCTTTGAACCCAGCAGAACCCTCTCCATAGGGCAGTTTCTGTCTACCTCCTGGCAATGTCTGTTCCTCCGATTCCCTACACCCCTCCTAGCATTATCAACCTGAGATCATTGTATATCATCCATGATTTGCCCCTACAAACATGCAGTGTGTGATGGGTGAGGGGTGGCAGCCTTTCTGGCAGCACCCCACTTCCTAGGACTAGGGGCCCTCCACCCCAGACCCTAGTCTGGGTATTTGCCCCTATTGATCTCCATCCTCATCTTCTCCTAACATTTCTCTAGCTTAAAGATATTTTTGTCTATGCATGACTTACTCACCTGCCCACCCACTCAACTCCAACCATCCATTCATCCACTCACCCACATATGCATTCAACCCTCTGCCCACCCAGCTACCCACCATCTCATACATACATCCACCCACCCACCCAGGAGTCAGTCTACCATCTATCTACTATCCACCCCATCCGCCCAATCACCTATCACATCTATTTCTCCTTCTTCCAGGGGGCTCCCCAGAGCACCTAGAGCCTGGAGAGTATATAGGGAGGCTCCCGCGGGTCTTGGGGTGTCCACGTGGATTCCCCCCTTGGTGAGGACAGCTGTAGACCAAGGCCCTGCCCTTAAAGTCTGGTTCCTGGAGACAGTGGGGCCACCTTGGCCCCAGCCCAGTCTCTCCTCTGAGCTCCACCCAGCCCCTTGTGCCCCCAGGTTTACACCAGTAACCAGCCCCTTCGAATCGGCTACTATGAATCAGATGGTTACATCCACCCATCCCCTAGCATGGCCAGGGCTGTGCAGCCACCTCTTGGCTGCCCCAGGATGCATGACACCAGATAGTTTCACCTGGTCCTGGGTGAGAGAGAGACCGAGCCAGTGCGAGGATGCTGGGCAGGGCCATCCTTGGAGACAAAGGTGGCTACATCTGAGTTTGAGGTGCTGAGATAATTGTGTTTCCCCTGTGCTTCCTGGAGAAGACTGATGGGGTGGAGGTGGGGATAGGGTGAGCCCTACCCTGTAAGGAAGGCATCAAGCTTTTGTGTCTTCTTCCTTCAGGGGTGGAGATTCAGGAACTCACTCCTGTAATTCCTTTAGCTTGGGTCTCTGTTGCCTCCATCAAGGGGCTGTAAGGAGCTTTCTGTCTCCAAAATCCCCACCCTAGCCTTACCCCCACCTCCCCTGCCTCCAGTGGCTTGTCCTGGCCTCACTTCCCCTTTGAGATTCTACGATGTGATCTTGCGCTAGCCTTTTAAATTCCCTGGGCTTGTTTTCTACCCAATGGGGTGGCTGTGAAGATTAAATGTGGTTCCATAGATAAAGCACTTGGCATGCTGGCTGGGTCACAGTGAAGCGTGAAGGAAATGAGGGCTGCTCTCGTTCTGTTCTGTCGCATCTGTGTGTGGGGTGAGGGAGTGGGGTGGCAGGAGAGCGACCAGTGACACAGGCCTCCCATGCATGCTGAGGCACTGAGCTGGACGGAGATGCACCAGATGATGTGGCATCCCTCTTGAAATCTTGGGGGATACAGAGACAGAGAACCAGGCAGGGTTGGGGAAGCTCCGGATCCTGACTCTGCCTCTGCCTCCCCAGGTTATCCCCTTCTCCATCCCCCGGGCAGAGTATGCCATCAAAGACTTATATGCAGGGGGGATGTTTACTGATGGAGGGGCCACTCTTCTAGAGAAGCTGTACATTATCTGCTGGGACTCAGGGGTGGGGCATGGTGGAAACAAGGTAGGGGAGGGGGCTGGAGCCAACCTGAGTCCCAGGAGGGAAACTGGGGGCCTGGGCTGGGATGGCTCTGGCTAACAGTGTGACCTTATGCAGCAAGCCACCCACTGCGCCTGTCTTTAGGATGCACCTGTTCCGGAGGTGGGGCTGAGAGCAGAAGTGCATCTTTGGGTTTGGCCTTCTTCTTGTCTACGGAGTAGAAGTTGGTTGGCTGTGGGGGCAGGCCATTGGCTAAAGGCTGTGATTGACCCATCTGTGACTGGTTCCTCAGAGAGGGGGACATTGTGGATCCCAGCGTAAAGGGCATGGTCAACCAGCTCTGCCTGCCAGACCCTGTCAAGTGTTTCTTGGCTTGGTTCCCAAGGTACATAGTAAATGCGGGCCCTGGTTGGGGAGGGCTTTGGAAGGGCAGGGGCACAGGGAGTAGGAAGGGCTCAGAAAGCAGAGGGAGCCCACAGAAGGAGAGGAAGTGGGGTCAGAGAGAAGGATGAGGCCCAGAGAATGGTGGTAGCTCAGAGAGGGGTTCAAAATGGGGAAGAAGAATGAAGGGCTGGGTAGACGGTGGCTCCTGTCTGTAATCCCAGTACTTTGGGAGGCCAAGGAAGATCACTTGAGCCCAGGAGTTTGAGACCAGCCTGGGCAACACAGTGACACTCCATTCTCTAAAAAGAATGGGAAAAACAAACAAACAAACAAACAAAAAACAACTAGCTGGGCATGGTGGTGCATGCCTGTGGTCCCAGCTACTCAGGAGGCTGAGGTGGGAGGATTGCTTGAGCCCAGAAGGTGAAGGCTGCAGTGAGCTGAGATTGTGCACTGCACTCCAGCTTGGGTGACAAGTAAGACTCTGTCTAAAAAAAAAATTAATTAAAAAAAATAGTGAAAGAAGGGGATGGGGCTAAAAGAGTAGGGTGCTCACAGAGAGGGGAGGGGGTTTCAGAGAGGAGGCTCAGAAAGGGGGAAGGGCATTTGGAGGGCTGCAGGGCTGGTGTGAGCTTGGAGAAGCTCAGGGCTTGGTGAAGTGGTGTAGGCTTGTTGAGGATTGGAGGGTTCCATGTCAGTGTGTTGATTCATGCCACCCTTCTTGGACCCCCTCCTGGGCAGGCTGGCTGTTTCCCTGTGGGTTCTGAAGTTGAACTCACCATCTCATCCCCCTCTAGGATCCCCGAACTAGCCAGCATCTTGAAGAGATTCGTGGAGTGGGGTGAGTCTCCCTAGGGCCAGCTTCTACCCACAAGGGTTGTCCATGGGATGGTGGGAATTGAGGAGGGGCATGTGGCTAGAGTTGGTGTCCACTTAGAGGGGGAACTATTTAGATTTTGGACTTTAGTGTTTTAAGATCATGCCTGACATTAGCGTTATATTGAGACTTTTGATTGGTGTTGGGACTTGATTTGGAGTTAAGATCTGAATTAAGGCGGGGTGTGGTGGCTCACGCCTGTGATCCCAGCACTTTGGGAGGCCAAACGGGAAGGATCACTTGACGCCAGGGATTTAAGACCAGCCAGGACAACATGATGAAACCTGTCCCTACTAAAAATACAAAAATCAGCAGGTGTGATGGCATGTGCCTGTATCCCAGCTACTCGGGAGGCTGAGGCATGAGAATCATTTGAACCCAGGAGGTGGAGGTTGCAGTGAGCCAAGATGGTGCCACTGTACTCTAGCCTGGGTGATAGAGAGAGACTCTGTCTCAAGGAAAAAAAAAAAAATTCTGAATTAAGGCTAAGCTAGGTTGAGGTAAAGTGTGGGGCTGAAGTTGAGATTAGGTTTTATTTGGGGTTGGGCTTAAGACTGAGGCTGGGGTTGCAGTCGGTTTGGGTTGGGGTTGGGGCAAAGATAGATTTGGAAGTGGGTTGGGACTGAGGCTGGAGTTGGGGTGGGGCTAGAGTTAGGGTTAGAGATGAGGTTGGGAGAGGATTCTGGTGTGGGCTTGGGTTTGCTGTTGGGCTTGGCCTGGTGGGGTTGGTGTTGAGATGCTGGGCAGAATTGGGTTGGAGTGGCCTGAGGGCTAACTGGGTGCCTCACAGATTAGGGTAAGGAGCCTGTGGCCTTTGAGGGACCCCCTGAGTTCCTGCGACCGGTGGAATGAAGGGTGGATTGACCAGAGGATGTGTACTCTTGGGGACCTTGGGCAGGCAAGATGTCTTGGCCAGGGGACAAGACACAGGGTCACTCCCATCCCATCAGTTGATTTGCAGTGTGCACTGAGGCCTTGGGTGCCATGTC